TCTCCAGCCAGACATAGTTCTTATCTGGCTCCAATGCTGTAACTTGAGATCTGATCCACTCAACACCTGAAGGCATTACACTTTTCATGGGACGTGCAGAAGCTGCCAGCTGCTTTGCACCACCACCAACCAGGGTCCACAGGGGCTGATAGTAATGAGTCTGAAATAAAAGTTCAAATGGACATTTCAAAACTGTTTAAAAGGACTTAAAGGCACATCACTCCAAATGCTCTGAGCAATGTGCTCTAAACATTGTACTATTCTTAACAAAAGAAGCTGTATAAACAGCTGTATAAGCAACCAAGATTTTTCCATGACAAAGCTGCAGGGATGTACAAATCTCACGACAAAGAAAGTGTCATATAAAATCTTTTGAAAGATGCTTAGTTGGCTTACTTTCCACAGCTAAAAACATGTGGGGCTGCAGAGGGATGAGAATCAGACCCATCTGGTCACATGTAAAATGCTTATCCTTGACAGTGCTTTACAGCAGAGGGACACTCACCTTATTTGGCTCAACAACAGCCACATTTTCTGCCCCCACTCTCCTCTTCATCCGAGCACTCATGGAGATTCCACCAGCGCCTCCACCCAACACAAGTACTTCATAATAATCCCTGACAGCACACCTGGCTGCTGTGTGTAAGGAGCTCATCTGCATTCCTGGTTTCAGCAGCCACACACTAGAACGGAGACAGGAGCAGGAAAACACTGCTCCAATTGCTGACATCTTTCATTAAGTGGGAACTAGGAGATAAGGAAAGGCACCAGTAACAATTAGAGGAGGCAGAATTTATATCTATTTAAATGTCTGGGTTAGTTTTGAAGGCAAAAATTACAATAATAAATTCCTCAAGTCATCAGGCAAGAATTACAGCTTTTTCATTTATTTACTCATTTATGTTACTTACCAAGCGGAATTTCAAAATTACACCTGAAACCTCAAATATTTTCAAGAAAATCTGCTAATGTCAGCTTCAAAAATTCTCCACTACACCAGATGTAGTTCAGCAACTCATTCTGCACCTTTATGTGCTATCTTGACATCCCTCATGTCTCTGTATCATGAGTTCTTTATAATTCTTTATAATCTAGGCCCCATTATTAATCCTTACAGTTACAATTTAGGACAGAGAAGGAAAAATCCCAGAGGCATCCACCGTAAAACCAATGCTAATAATTTTGTTTTGCAGATGCAAAACATGATGCAAACATTTTCTTCTCATTCCCTCCCCATTCAGAACAAAACACCCAAATCCACGGGAAGTTAGTTTAACTTCAGAAGGCTGTTTATCATCTGTGCAGGCAGCTATTTAAAAATGTGCACTTCCATTTATAGATCTCTTTTCCCTTTCACTCTAAGGCTATTTGTTTGCATGTTTTTAGAATAAGTCTGTTTAGTACTGAAGAAAAGGCACTTTAAAGAAATCATAGTTAAGACTGAGCAGGAGAGCTCAGTACCTCAGTATCTCAACTAGAGCCTAGAACAAACACGTAACCCAAGCACGGCAGTTCTTGCAGAGTTCTTGCAGAGTTCTTGCTCAGTACAACTGCAATTTCTTCCTCTCCAGGGCACCTCCCGTATGCTAAGCTCCTCAGACTGCCTGCTTTATCGGACCAGTTTATTGAAGGAAGTTGGAACAAAGAGAGTTAGACAAGTCCGACTGGCAAGAAGTACAGATCATTGCAACTATTCTTTACCAGCTAGTCCAGATCAGCAGTGAAGTACTCCACCCATGCACGTGTGCGAGCTCGGCGGGCAGCCCCCGGCCGGCTCCAGACCTGCGAGCCCCTCAGCTCCGGTCACAGCGGCCGCTGCTGCTCCGCGGCCCCGAGGCCGAGGCACCCGGCCCGGCGGGGGGAGCAGGGCCCTGACCCCGGGGCCGGGGCACGACCCGCTCCGCGCTAGGCGAGGCCGCTGCGGCCCTCAGGCTCCCCGCAGGCTGCCCACCGGCACGGCCCCCGCCGCCTCCCGGCTCGGCCCCAGCGGACACCCGCGCTACCTCACGGCGGCCCGGACCCCCCGGGCCCGCTCCCCGCTCCGCACTCACCGCTCCTTGCGCCGAGCAGGGCGGGCACGGACCGCGCCGTCGGCCGTGTGAGATCGGCGCCGGTGCCGGGAGCGGCGGGGCGGAGCTCGGGGCTCCGGGTGCTGCCCAGCCGCGGGCAAAGGCCGCGGTCCGGTCGGGAAGGGCAGAGCCGGGTGGCGCAGCCGGCGGTGGTCGCGGAGCCCCCGCGAGGGCCTGAGCCGAGCGCTCCCCTCCGGGCAGGTACCGGTGGCACCCACAGCTCCACCCCCTTGCTTCCCAAAGTTTTGAAACTCCAGTCCTAAACCTGGCCCCCTGCCAATCCCCGGTAACCCAGCCGTGCATTCGGCATTGGCCTCCATCCCAGGCAGCAGCCCAGTCCCACCTGGACACACACGGCACGGGTCACGCACATCGCCGTTACCAACGGCAGAATCACCACTAATACAGTACCTGCCATGGAGGGAGCACGGATACTTCAGTATCTGAACTTTCTCCAGTTACCTGTGAGCACCAGCCCTAAACTATAATCTAGGAGCCCTTTTCCATGGACAGAAAAACAGCAAAATTATTAAGCTTAATACCACCAAAACACTTACTAGATCAGATCAATAAATAATAAATGAGCTCTGATGGAGTGCATCCCCCAGTGATAGGCAAAGGCTCTCTTTTCAAAGCTGCTGAACACCCAGAGTTCCTGGGTTTCACTGGACAGAAAATGTACTGAAAAAAGACACATATTTTTTAGAGTGTGTCATAGAGATCAGACTTATTGTTAATAAAAGAGACTTCTCTAAAGAGAAAAAGGCCCCAAGGTTTATCGTTACATCCTTTAAAACACCCAAACTGCCCATTTTTATAGTTTTTATGACTTTCTCAACTTCCTGTCCAGTTGCCTTTGTATAATCAGAGGGCAGCCTTTTTTCACATTTTTTGTTCTAAAAGGTTGATCCTCATCTCTGTGCATGAGAAAATTGTTGGCCTGCTTTTTTAAACATGTATTTTTAAGACTGCCTTTAAACATTGCAGTATTTTCTTTAAGCTCCCATGCATATTTCCCCATAGACTGCTTACAGATATAGCCTGCAGTTTTAATTAAAAAAATTACTCAAATGAATTCCATAATTCAGAAACTCACAAACCAAACATGAAGAAACTCCTCACCTGCAGCACAGAGGCGTCCAGCAGCCGTAGGGAGCAAGCACTGCCTTAACCTTTCCAAAGTCCAGGCAGGATGAGAGGGTGGGAGCTGCTGTGAGGGCTGGGCACACACTGCCTAACCCTAACCCTGGATTACCACATTTATCTACTCCATAAGGAACTTTTTATAAAATCAAGCACAACTAAGTGTACACAGCAACAGAACTGCTCCCTCAAGCTGTGCATGATGATGCAAGCATGTATTTTTAGATGTCAGTATTGTTAATTTCATCCAATAGAGCATTTACTTTTATGCATTAAGACTTACAAGAGTATTTGGTAGAACATCCTATAGATGTAGAACAAACTATAATGAATTATAGTTTTCACTGAAGTAATTTAAGAACACATTAATAGAAGTTATGTAAATGGAACAAACTTCATCCTATACATTTTTATTAATTTTCCTCCTTTATTACAGAAAGGTCATTTAATAAAATTAGGTCCTTATTCATAGAAAACCCAGATCTTATCATGCTGTTATGGGAAAAGTTAATCAATCTAATTTTTATGTACGTGCATGTGATTCCTCAAGTAAGCACTGTCTGCTTTTACCCCTTTGATTGGAAATTATTCAAAATTCTGAAATGTACCAAATTTCAAAAGTATCAATTTCTTAGAATTCTCTAGTTCTAATTAAAGTAACCATGATTTTTTTGAAACAAAACAAAACAAAATCCCACAAAACCACAGTTCTTTGAAAAAAAACCACAGTTCTTGACAGAGAGAGAGAATAGGACTTGATATAGTAAACTGGATTCTGTGAGGGCATACAAATCAAGAAATATCAAAGGAATTCGATCCTGATTTAGATACCGAGGCATCCAGTTTCATGTAATAGTTTAATGAGAACGATTTTAATTCCCAGAATCTGATTGTGAAATTACATCACAAAATAAAATACTTAGACAACATTTAGTTATGTACATTCTGCTCCAAAAAATGGACTGTGGAAATACTTTACATTTCTCTTAGAAATACATACAAACCACAGCAGAGGCCAACAATCCACTGGCAATTAACGGCCATGAGTCAACTTCAGGGAAAAATACCTGGGGAAAGTTTTAATCTAATACTGCTTCACTAAAAGCATTTCAGTGTCCCTTCAGACTGCTTTAAGTAATTTGTTCTCCTTGCCCCAAAACATTATCCCAGTTTACCTTGCATGATGCCTGGGAACTTGTTAGAGTACGTCTTTCACAGAAGAAGGTAACAAATATTAAGAACAGGAAATTAGGAGTTCAGAAAATGACAGTACAGAAAGTCCAGGCAGGTGCACACTGTGTGAGTCATCTAAAACAGAAGGAAAAGTAAAATGAACTGTGCCCCTGTGATACATTCCTATACATTTTTTATGGAAAGCTTTACATAGCTTACCCTTTATCTTACTTCAAAACACATAATTTACATTATCACTTAAAAAGAAACACAGATATACTTGAAAAGAAGTACAATTATAAAATAACTAGTTTGTTAGCCTGTAGGAACAAATAATTTAAAGCTCTTTCACTAGTCTAGACAATTTGTACATTCATTTGAATGGGAGTTCACACCAAGTGCTGCAAGATAGGAATTACATTCAGAGAAATGGATATCAACCTCCATTCCAAACTTCTCATCAATAGACACTAATATAATCATCATTCTGGGCGAGGACTCTTATAAAAAATCTCTTAGATAGCCCTGAAGTGCAAATAATTCATTTGTTAAGGAAAAAACACTAAATGCAGTAGTTTTCCCACAAGTGGCTGAATTTCACATGAAATGGAAAAGTTTAGTTTTGGTTATGTTTTATTTTGTCACACAAGATAAAGAAATTACAACTTCTAATCCCACAAAAATATGCTTAGACCACACAAGTCTTTCTAATAAACCATTACAGAAGCAACAGTTTCCTGGTTTGACTTAAATGTTTGGAAGCACAAAATCATTAATCTTTGCATTATGCACGCATCAATTTTGACAATCTTTAGTGTTCTGCTTCTCCCCTGCCAATCCTTTCAGCTGGGAACTTATTCAGAAGTTACTTTAAAGCTGTTCTTAAGTTACTTGATGACAAAAAAAAAAAGATTGCTGCAATGAAGTGAACTTTTCAGAAAATACACTGATATTTTCTTCAGTTCTTTAGAGATGGATCAAACTAAGGCTGCACAAGAAATCAGTATTTATGATCAAAGACAGATCCCAACTGCATGAAACAAAGCAGTTTCAGTGAAAATGCAGCCACTGATGTCTGGTGATGAGAACTGAACTTTAAGAAGTTCTTTGCATTTTGTCTGAAAAACATGTGCCAGTCATCAAATCTCTCAGAATTCTAAACACCAAAAGAAGAGAAGAAAACAAAAACAGATAGGTACTTAAAACTATGACGCCAAGTTCTCCTATATACATATATATAAAAATTAACTTACATTATAATATCAAACTGCATAGCATTACAAAAGAAGGCAACTTGAATGGCTGAAATCAAAAAATGTGAATGTTACCAACTCTATTATTACCATTCTGGAATTTATAATTCCAGAGAGTAGACTGTTGCTAGCAACAGCTGTAGACCAATTTAAGCAAAGTCTGCTTTAATTCCAGTGAATGTAGAAATCATTAATTCAGACAAGTTGTTGTATGCTCTGTTTTCAGGTCCTCTTTGCAGGTTTTGCTGTTAACTGTTTCTCTCTTTCAAGTTCCTTCTCACGTTGCTGCTCCCGTTCCAACTCTTCCTTCTGCCTCTTTTGTTGCAGCTTAAGTGCTCTTTTCTAAACAGAAAATACAAGAAAATAACTATAAGTTTTATTTAATTTATATTTAAACCGAAGCAACAAACAAATCCCTCCCATTCTGCCTCTCTCCAACACACCCTCCTTTGAGGGTGACTCAAATGACTCATACTACATATGACTGAATGTAGCATAAACTGTTCCTTTTTGCTTCATTCCTCTCACTTTGCTACTGTTCAGAAATGGGAAGTTTGTGACCTACACTGGGAAAACACAAACCGGAGCCCCCTTCAGTCTCACTAAAAGTCATCCTTTGGGTATACCTGATACAGTTCTTACCATGCAATTTTCTGCCTCCAAGCAAAAATTCTCTTGTTGAACACACTGACTAATCTTGCCAGAATGTAACCAGGCTGTCTATATAGCATGAAACCATTGAACTTATGCCACTGTTCATGGTACATTAAACAGAAGGAGAAATTCTTACATTGGTGACAATCTAGTTTCCATTGAAATGAAACTGAAACAACAAAGAGAACTGCTTGGAATGGAGTGGACTAAAGCAACAGAACAAGGCATGATTCATACACCACCTAAACATGGAGATTACACTGAAAGAGTAGTTCAGATGTGTAAGATGCTTGAGCACCATTAGGAGCAAGTGAAAGGATAAAAACATACATGGCTTGGAGCTACTGAAAACATCATTTTAAGATAAAATTCTATTTTAATCAGAATTTTCAGCATGCTTCCAAAATAAAAGTTGGAAGTCAATAATACATAAGTAAGTATCTGTATTGGAAAGTAAAAATATTTATCCCACTTACTTTTAACTTTGATGTCTTTTCATGCAGCATCATCATTTCATTTCTAATATTCACTAACTTGTTGTGATAGTGTTTAGCTTCTGAAAACTTAAAAACCATAACTGTTAAAGCATTGACTGTCAAGTTAGAACAGTTGTTTTATAAAGCTACACAGTAAAATAGCAATCAAAAACAGTGATTACCAGAACAGTTTGATAATGGAACAAACATGTTTAAGTTTATATATAAAATTTACACATCACATATATTAATATAGAAAACTACTACATCTCAACAGTTGCACACCATAATCTACTGAGTTAAGATTAATGAAAAAGAACAAAAATATTACAATTTTATGCACCATACAGGAATGTTTCATGCACCATTCCTGCTAGTCTGGGGAGGTGCACTCCCATGTGAGAGTCTCAATCCTACTGGAAAAATGTGCACATTTGCTTTGGCTGCTGGCTTTGAACAGCCAGTCCCACCAATGTGCCTGCCTGAGCCTGCACTCTCTTCCCACTGCCCTTCCTATTTAAGGGAAACATGCTGATTCCCACCCTCTCCAGCAGTTTGTCCCTAATATCTGAGCTGGTTTTCCTTCTGTAGGTCATTATGGAAAAGACACAAGCTGCTAGGAATGCTTCAGCAAGAAAATCTACGCTAATCTAGAATTTAAAAGGCATTACTGATACTTACCAAAGCATTGATATCAACAATGGAGTTACACTCTTTGAATTTTGAAATTTCTTGTTCTAATGTTTCTAGCAGTACCACTTGGTTCTGTCTAAAACAAAAAAAAGATGCATAAACCCAAAGTAAAGCCCCACATTTGCTTTTCAACTAGCCCTTTAAATAGACTTTTAATCAAAACAGTATCAATACACACTTCCCAACAGCACATGGATACCCAGGATAAATATCCCAAAAACCCTGAAGAGGCACTCTCCAGGTTGCAGTGGTTGACTGAAAAGAAGAACAATTAGCTCTTGACTTTCCACTTGGGTGCCCCTGCATCATGATGGAGGACTAAGTTATTTCTGTACAGAACTTGTGTGGATTCCTGGTGATTATTAAGGATCTCCATTCCACACAAATCAGCTCAAGTCTTTCCAGACAAAGGCTGCCCTTGGCAGGAGCATAACCACATCATGCATAGTGAAACCCAAACTAAGGTACCCTGCAAAAACTGAGACGGATCTGTGTAAAGCTCCTTCCAGTATCTCTGTATCCATGGCAGATCTGATCTGCATTTGAAATCAACCACTCTTGGTTATCAGTGAGGTATCAGTGTACAAAGAACTCTTATCTGTTTAGATCCTTACTTGTATTTTTCAAGTGTTTTGCAATATGGCTTAGAGACTGAACAATAAATATCTCACTACAAGCTGCCCTGAATACAAACTGCATGTCTCCAAGCAAAATAAATCCAGCTTTTAGCACACTTTTGCACTACAGAAGTGAATAAGCATTTAAGAAATCTAGGTCTTCTGCTCTGCCTGGCTTAGGGCATTTTACTCTTCTAGTGTTACACATTCTTCAGCCATAGTGCTCACAGGCTGCACTGCAGCTTATACACCCCCTGCTACTCCCACAGATCACTGAATTATTCAGGCTGCTCGAGTCAGGATACAGAAATGCTGATAAACTATATTCCAGTTAAAGGGAGCTGGCACATTATATTGAAAAGAGCAGCAAATCAAGTATGCACGTGTATGAAGTTGGTTCCAAAAATCTGCTTACGTAAGTTCCTGCAGTGCTGATTTTGATCGCTGAAGATCAGGCAGATAGTGGGAAATCAATCCTTCAGTCAGCTGCTCCACAGCCTTCTCATCTATTAAAGGCAGATCTTCTACAACTCCTTCATCTGGAGACGCATCACTGGGACCTACACCAAACAACAGCAAGGCTGAATGGAGTGTGACAGGTCAGCACACACTTCAAGCTTCACCTAGAGCAACTTATTTTCCTTTTCAAAAAATTAAATGCATTAAAATACATTAAAATTCTCTGCACTTTTTCAATTAAACTGGACTTTCATCTTCCTCTTCTTCTTTATTCCTCCCTTATTCTCAGACCTGTATCACAAGCTGAGCTGATAAACCCCTTTATGTGAACAGCAGCAGAATAGAAAGAGGTTAATATAACTGTTCCATATATATCTCAAAAAAAAAATAAAATTGAGTACTCCAGTCTACTGATGAAAAAAATAGGCAACATCAGTGTTCTGACTATGTATCAAGAGTACCTAAACATTAACAGCCCCTAACCTTTGCTTTCAAAGTCTGAGAACAAGCCAGGCTATGAAAGGTCTTCGCCTGTCACTCAAAACACCAAGAGTTCATGCCGAACTCCAAGAACTGAACTTCACAGCCTGGAATTCTCGTACGGGCACTCTATGATTATTTTTTGTCTGCTCGTGGAAGATAAAACCCTTTACCCTACAGGCCCCCGCACGGGAGAGAACGCTGCGGGAGGCAGCCCCTGCCCTCGGACGGAGCCCGTCCGTAACGGAGCCTCCCGGCGGCGGCTCCAGCCTCTCCTCGGCTCTCCCTGCACCCGCGTCCCGCCCGGCCCGGGCTCCCCTCACGTACCCAGCGAGCGCCCGGGCTCACCCGTGGCCGCCGCCTCCTTCCCCTCCGGCCGCTCCGCGCCGCTCATCGCTGCCGCTCCCGGCGCCCTCCGGCAGGGCAGAGCAGGGCACGGCAGAGCAGAGCAGGGCACGGCAGGGCAGGGCCGCCCGAGCCCGCGGCAGGCGGGTCCGGCTGCCCTCACCGAGAGGGCCGGCCCGGCGCCCCCCGGCCCGCGCCCCGCCGCCGCCGCACCATAGAGCCGCCGCCTCCTCCGCCTCCGCCGCGCTCCGGGCCTGGGCCGCGCCTGGCACGGAAGTGACGCGAGAGGGCCGCGCCGGGCAGCGGGGCCGCGCCGGGCAGCGGGGCCGCGCCGGGCAGCGGGGCCGCGCCGGGCAGCGGGGCCGCGCCGGGCAGCGGGGCCGCGCCGGGCAGCGGGGCCGCGCCGGGCAGCGGGGCCGCGCCGGGCAGCGGGGCCGCGCCGGGCAGCGGGGCCGCGCCGGGCAGCGGGGCCGCGCCGGGCAGCGGGGCCGCGCCGGGCAGCGGGGCCGCGCCGGGCAGCGGGGCCCGGCCCTGAGCAAGCGGGGTGCGATAGCTCCGGCCCGGCCTGCCCGGGGACAGCGGCTGCCCGGCGGGAGCAGCACAGCGCGGCCCAGGGAGCTGCTGCCGCACAGGAAACACCTACAGGCACTGCAGGTGTCCTTTCGTAGGGACATCCTTGCTCTTGTATTTTATAGATTTGGATTCTTCAGAAACCGTGCAAACTTTACACTACTTGTAGCTGTTGTGTATACGTCTGTCTCTCTGTCTCTGCATCTCCCCAACAGTGTGCAAGAGCAGAATCACTTCACACAGTATTTTAGAATATTCTGAGTTGGAAGCGGCCCAGAGGTATCATTAAGTCCAGCTCTTAAATGAGTGGCTGATATGGGGATCAAACTGCCACCTTGGTGTTATCAGCATCCTGCCCTGAGCAGCTTGCAAGTATTTTCTCTGGTAGGATTTAAAGTTTTTTCCTCTTTTACCAACAAAGGTCTTTTGAGGAAATGCAGGTGCAACTATAGAAAAACTAATGAAGGACCACTCAGAAAAAAAAAAAATTAAGGCTGTATTTTAATATATACCCAAACCTTAAAGATTAAATTCATTTCAGGCAGTCCCCCTAATGCTTTTCAGAAACAGATTGAGGCAAAAAAATGGGCTTTTGAGGTGATCTGTCAACCTTAAAACTAACATTTCTAACAGAAAGATTGTTGCAAATTCATTTGCATTTTTCTTCATATGCATATTCTAATTAACTTTTGTTCACAATTATGTCACTATTCCATCATCAGATTAAAGATTTACCCATTTTCCTGCTTTTTTAAAGGAGCAACAAGAGGAAGGTGTTAATTAACTCGAACAGACTCAAAATCTTAATCCCAACTGGTTAGCAATTTTACTTAAAAGTTACTTTTGGTAGGGGGGAAAACCCACAACTTTTGTTGAAAGTTTCACTGGGAAAGACTTTGCCGTTTCCAGATGGAATTTCTAGTAAGAACAAGTGAGATAATGACTCTGAAATAGTCTCACTTGAGATGTGGGAGTTTCAGATTTGTGCTCCTGCTTTGCCTGTTCCAGGCCTTCCCACGTCTTGCAGAAATAGACTAAGGATTGGAATAGAAAACTGCTATCTGGTTTTCTAGACAAATTAAAATTTAACTGTTTGTTAACCCAAATGTTCCAAAAAAGAGGATGATAGAAACCTTTTTTTGTTCCTTTTCTTCTGCAAAATGTCCTGTTTCACAGTAACTATTTCCCAAGTGCCTATGTTTGTAATACTGTTAACACCACATAATTGTGTTTCATTTTATGTTGTAGCAACTGTGTTCAGAAACCATTAATGGACACTGTCACATAGGCATTTTGGATTTTATTTGCAACTGATTTAACCAGTTACATCTATTGTAACCATGCCCCATCCTAGAAGTGTGAGTGAAAATGGAGTTAAGTTAGCTTGAATTGTATAACAAATAGGATGTTTTAAACCATCAGCGTTGGAGGTGCCAGGTGACTTCAGGGATGACAACATGAAAAGGAAATACTTCACATTAATAGATAACCTCTCAGAGACTCTCTGTCCTCATTAAGTAAATGAGACTATAGAAAGAGTAGAGCCTTGGCTGTTACAATGAAGAAATTGAGTGTAGCTGGTACAAACAGTTCTGTTCAGAGAATGAACCATGCATGAGCTGGTTCTTGACTTGATAACACGTCTGGTTCCAATGCATGAGCTGGTTCTTGACTTGATAACACGTCTGGTCTTAGTTATTCAGTAAAAGGTGAGCTGGCAAACCTTGGTGCCCTGGTTTAGTGTGTTAGTCCCCCCAGCTAAATACCCTTCCTCAGTGCTGGAAGTTTCTGTTCCTGTAGGAGTGGCAAAGCTCCAGTGTAAAGCCCAACATTTTAAGACAGTTTTAAATGCAGTTCTTTTGGTGCCTCCTGGAGCCTGGCTGCTCATGCCTGTGTGTCCTTCCCTCACTTTGTGCTGGTACAAGTGGTGAAACTCTTGAAACACAGAGTGAGTTAAATCACGCAGAGAGAACAGAAACATCCAAAATGGGTGAACTGGAACACAGCTGGGAGCACTTTCCAGGGCAGCAAGGCTGGCTTAACTGGTTTCCCATCCTTGGCTGCTCATTCTGACTCCCACACTGTTCACTGCCCCCTCGTTGTCATATGGATGTCTGTGCAAGCTGAGATCATGCAAGCAGTCTCAGTTACATATACAAATATATCCAAAACCCTCCCAATACGCATTGTTTAATTCTGACCCATTTCAGGGACTCAGTTTATTGTCTGGCCCCTGAACAATTGTGCTGGTAACAATGCTGGGGGAATCATGAGGTGGGTAAAAGGGCAGGAGATGGCACCACTTTAGCCACTTGAAGAAAAATAACCTGAAAATCACACTCAGAAATACAGCCATGTTGTAAAGTGGCAAGGGAGCTCAGATAAAGTGTCATACTGTCTATTTTTGGACATCATTAAGAGAACAACAATAAACAACCTCCACCCAAGGCCAGTTGACCACAGAGGACTCCCCTTCCCACAGGGCCAGTTCCAAGAAGGGGCTCACTCCCTGGCCTCCAGCACTGCCCTGATGCCTACCAGAATCTGCTATCAGATTCTGATATATCTGCTATCTGCTACCAGAATCAGCCTTTGACCAGGAAAGGAGTGCCCTTCTCCAAAATCCTGCACATCTATACAGCTCTAAAGTCTTCTCTTGGTAACTTCCTTCAACCCAGTAACAAAGCAAGACATGTACTTTCTCTCTGACAGGCATGATTTCCCAGAAATGTTTATGGCTTAGCAAACCGACTGAAGACAGTAACAGAATTTGGCCATAGGTACAAACTGATGCAGAACTCGTGTAGGCTGAAATTCAGAAGAAAATATCAAGTACTCAGACCATGAGGAGCAGGAATAACCTCTCATTAAAATTAATAAAGGCAAGAATCTAATATACTTTTGTGTTAGAACAGAGCTATGAAAGGAATTATAGAACAGCAGGGTCCCTGAGGTTTGTTTCTCCTTACATCCTTTAAGGAATGTGCAGAAAGGCATCTGAAACCTCCTACAACTGTACCTTAACAGAGTTACTGAAACAATGTAAAGAACTGTGCCGTGACAGAAGAGAAAGACAAAAGCAATACAATACAAACTTCTGCCGTTCAAAATCTGAAGCCAGAGCACCGAACTACGCAGTTCAGGCTTCCAGCGTACTGAACACAGCTTCCTGCCTATCAGGGACCACCATACCTGCATTGTATGGCTTTGGCAGTTCTTAGCCTCTACCTCGCATGGCATTTACCCGCTGAACACAAAGGCACGGAGGGAGGGGAGCAGCCCCTCAGGCCACCCCGAGGGACGCGGGCCGCACCGGGCGGATCCCTGCGCCCCCCGAGCCCCGCAGCGCGGTCCCCCCGCTCCGCGGGCAGCGCGGGCGCGGCGAGGCGGCGGCGGCGGGACTCGAACCTGCGGCCAAACCGCGCGGGAGGCGCAGGCGCGGTGCCGGCGGGGTCCGCGGGAGCGCAGGGGACGCGACTCCCGCCAACTGCGGCCGCCGCCGCACGCGGGGCGGCCCCGGGAGCGCGTAAGGATTGCGAGGGCGGCGCGCTACCCGCCCGCGGCGGAGCGCGGAGCGGAGGGATGTGACGCGCATGGCGGCGGCGGCGCTCCCCCTGCGCCGGCAGGGAGGCGGCCCCGCGCCGGGCGCCGCCTGCCCGGCCGCGGCGTGACCGGGGCCGCGCCGGCTGAGCGCTGCGCGGGGTGACCGGGGCTCGGGTGGTGACAGCGCCTCGCGGCGCGGTGCCCGGCGCGGAGGCGGCGCTGCGGGCCGGCGGTGCCGGGGCGCTCCGCGGCGGAGCCCCGCGCCCCTTTCCGTCCGACCTGCGCGGGGCCCGGCGGGGCGATGTAGGGGACATGCCCTGACGGGACGACGAGCGGTCGGGGCGCCGCTTGCGAGGGCACAGCTGCGCCAGCGGAGCCGCCCGCGGCGGGTCGGCCGCGCCCGGCGAGGCCCCCGAGCGCCGCCGCTATGGCTGGGGCCGGGCTCTGGGCGAGCATCAAGTCCCTGCTAGGGAAGAGCGAGGACCCTCTGTTCCTGAACGACTCCAGTGCCTTTGACTTCTCGGACGAGGTGGGGGATGAGGACTTCCCCAGGTTTAACAAGCTGCGCGTGGTGGTGGCGGACGACGGCTCGGAGGCGGCTCCGGAGACGCCGGTGAACGGGGCGTCCCCGGGGCTCCCGTCCGACGACGAGTCCCTGCTGGAGCGGGACATCGCCCTGCGCAGCGCCCGGGCCGGCCGGCCGGACCCCTGCAGCGGCTGCAGCAGCCGGCGGGAGCGCTCCAAGCAGAGGAAGGTGAAGAAGCGGCTGACGCTCGCTGCCCTCCTCTACCTCCTCTTCATGACGGGGGAGCTCATAGGTGAGTCGGGGGCCTGCTGTGCCGTCCCTCCGGCGCGGTGCCTCCCAGCTTGGTCTTGGCTTTGGCCTTGGCTTTGAACCATCAGTCCTTTAGAGAGACCAGAGAGATGAGCTGCACGTGCAGAGAGTGAGAGGGAATAAAATCCGCCTGTGTTTTCCTTGAAAGAATTTGCTACTTTCCTTACCTGAATTTTTCATCAAATCCTCGAAATGGCATAAAATATACAAATTTTTCTTTGTCTAATGGATTTTATTTCTTCTTGT